GATTGTGGCTGGCATACCCTGTCAAATGCGGCTTTACGGAGCTCAACGGCAATGAACGCTATTGGCTATTTTAAAAAGGGGCGGGGCTGCTTGATATGTCCCACCCTGTCTTCCTGTTTCAGTTAAAATGACGTCAACACATAGAGTAACGCTGCGTGTTTCTAAGCATTTCAGGGGACCTTTAAAGATCAACAAAAGACTGGTATGTGCTACCAGTCAGATGTCTACTGATTTTTTAAATGCAATTTTCCATACGTTAAGCCCAAAGTACACTGCGGTTTTTATGCATACGCGGGGGTCTGTGTACAGTGCGTATGGCCCACATTTCTGTATGTATGCGCACCTCCAGATTGTTGCACAATTTGTTTTGCACTAATTAGTTGTTCCACAAGGTGGCAACACTGTCCCAGGACGTTGTCTGACAGTAGAAAACAAAACTGGAAGAGCAACAAAATACCAGAGACTGCAACAACAACAGACGCCTGCATTGACAAGCGCATGTGTGAGAGGGCATGAGATAGCTGCAATTTATTCTAAAAGAATACAAAAACATTTTTATCAGCCATAACTTCTGGAGAAAAACAGCGCAGACACTGGATCAAGATGAGACTTTCTAGAGCACAGGTGTGGACCACCTGCGTTCAGAGTATGCTTGAAAGGCTACCGTTCGACTGTACACATATGCTTAAAACAACAACAACAACAAAAACATGAAGTATACTTTGGGCTTTACAGGGACAGAGAGTAATGTTGTAAAATAATGTTCAGTTTCTTGCACAGACTGATCATATCACTTCATAAGACCTCAATATCGTCAGGAGCCACAGATATTAATATATGTTGCCTGTCTCTGCTTTTGTTGACTCTCAAGTGCCACTGACTTGGATTTTATGAATCACCAAGGACCACGGTTTCAGCTAAAAATCTTCTTTACTGTTCTACTGAAGTGAACTATCCCTTTAACTTTACAGACATTTCCCTTAACCCTAAAACACTGCGTAATTTGAAATAAAGCTGAAACACCTGTGAAAAACATGATATGGGAAATTCCTTTATATTAACAGCACACTGTTTCATATTTTACATACTTTTCTTAGGATTGTTTATGATGTCTTAATATCTTTATGCCTTACTGTGACTTTTAGCAGATTAGAGCTGGGCGATAATATAGTTTTCATTGAGTAATTGTACAAGCAATCAAGCAGTTGATATTTACTATAAAGTTTATATATCACTTTAAGTGAGTCTACTGTATGTACACGGATAAAATTGGATATACTTATAACATTATATAAAGAGTTGGACATAATATAGTTATATTTCACAACAATATAATATGTGCAGGACACTGGGAGAGCGCTGAAGGGGTCTGAGCGGTATGTAAGTGTGGGAACTGCTCTGGCCAGGCATGACCCAAAATAGCTTCACAGGGAAAAATCCCACCCATCTCCCTCTCATTCTTTCATTCTCAAATTAGTCAGTTGGGTTACGACGGCGGTTTTGTGAGCGGCTGAATAACGGTCCAGCTTTAAAATGACAGAATTCCTCGGGGCACAACAAGGGTGGGCAATCCGCAAATGCACTTGAAAAAAGACGCATTTCCCATTACCAAATTGGGTCTGCAAATAACCCAGAGGCCTGCAGGAATTCTGTTACTTTCAACTTAAAAAAAACACAGCAGAGCTAATAAACGTCCGTTCCTGGGTTCCTTCAGCAGGGCCATTTGTAAAAATATAAATATTCTATTCGTTTAGCTAATGTGACCATATTACCTTCCTCAGAGATATTTCAAGTAAATATTTTATTTTAAGGGGTTTGGTTGACAAAAATGTTTGCGAATCCCTGCACTATATGAACAAACATTAATAAACATGAAAACAGCAATGACATTATATGCGCAAAGTATTCCAGCTCTGAAATATTTATTTTTCCTGACTTCCAGAATCAACAGTTATCAGTAACTTGCATAATTATTTGTTTTATACATGGTCTTAAAGCTTGAGAGCTGCTTTTTCTGCACTTCTGTATGTATGCGCACCTCCAGATTGTTGCACAATTTGTTTTGCACTAATTAGTTGTTCCACAAGGTGGCAACACTGTCCCAGGACGTTGTCTGACAGTAGAAAACAAAACTGGAAGAGCAACAAAATACCAGAGACTGCAACAACAACAGACGCCTGCATTGACAAGCGCATGTGTGAGAGGGCATGAGATAGCTGCAATTTATTCTAAAAGAATACAAAAACATTTTTATCAGCCATAACTTCTGGAGAAAAACAGCGCAGACACTGGATCAAGATGAGACTTTCTAGAGCACAGGTGTGGACCACCTGCGTTCAGAGTATGCTTGAAAGGCTACCGTTCGACTGTACACATATGCTTAAAACAACAACAACAACAAAAACATGAAGTATACTTTGGGCTTTACAGGGACAGAGAGTAATGTTGTAAAATAATGTTCAGTTTCTTGCACAGACTGATCATATCACTTCATAAGACCTCAATATCGTCAGGAGCCACAGATATTAATATATGTTGCCTGTCTCTGCTTTTGTTGACTCTCAAGTGCCACTGACTTGGATTTTATGAATCACCAAGGACCACGGTTTCAGCTAAAAATCTTCTTTACTGTTCTACTGAAGTGAACTATCCCTTTAACTTTACAGACATTTCCCTTAACCCTAAAACACTGCGTAATTTGAAATAAAGCTGAAACACCTGTGAAAAACATGATATGGGAAATTCCTTTATATTAACAGCACACTGTTTCATATTTTACATACTTTTCTTAGGATTGTTTATGATGTCTTAATATCTTTATGCCTTACTGTGACTTTTAGCAGATTAGAGCTGGGCGATAATATAGTTTTCATTGAGTAATTGTACAAGCAATCAAGCAGTTGATATTTACTATAAAGTTTATATATCACTTTAAGTGAGTCTACTGTATGTACACGGATAAAATTGGATATACTTATAACATTATATAAAGAGTTGGACATAATATAGTTATATTTCACAACAATATAATATGTGCAGGACACTGGGAGAGCGCTGAAGGGGTCTGAGCGGTATGTAAGTGTGGGAACTGCTCTGGCCAGGCATGACCCAAAATAGCTTCACAGGGAAAAATCCCACCCATCTCCCTCTCATTCTTTCATTCTCAAATTAGTCAGTTGGGTTACGACGGCGGTTTTGTGAGCGGCTGAATAACGGTCCAGCTTTAAAATGACAGAATTCCTCGGGGCACAACAAGGGTGGGCAATCCGCAAATGCACTTGAAAAAAGACGCATTTCCCATTACCAAATTGGGTCTGCAAATAACCCAGAGGCCTGCAGGAATTCTGTTACTTTCAACTTAAAAAAAACACAGCAGAGCTAATAAACGTCCGTTCCTGGGTTCCTTCAGCAGGGCCATTTGTAAAAATATAAATATTCTATTCGTTTAGCTAATGTGACCATATTACCTTCCTCAGAGATATTTCAAGTAAATATTTTATTTTAAGGGGTTTGGTTGACAAAAATCCCTGCATTCTATGAACAAATATTAATAAACATCATAACAGCAATAACATTACATGCCCAAAGCCTTCCAGGTAATATTTCTGTTCAGACTTTCAGAATCAACAGTTCCTGAAGGACACTGGATGTGATGACGACACAGTGTTTCACAGCAATACATCACCAGTAACTTGTGTAATTATCTGTTTCATACATGGCCTGATTGATTGAGAGGTGCTATTTTCCCTCAAATTCAGAAGCATCATTTGCTAATTTATTTACACAACATTTGTTAATGTAGTCCAAGCTGAATGGTACGGAACAGTAGGATTTAAAAAAAATAAAAAAGAAGAAATAGGGAGAATCAATAAACATTATGAATAATTTACTGCCATTGTGTGAATAAGATGTAATCATGTAATCCAACAAAAAATAACTGTAATCTGATTAGGAGCATTGAAAATGCGTATAAATGTGTATAACATTCAAAATGTAATATACTCTAATTAGAAGTACTTAATTTTTGCAATCTGATTACATAATCCAGATTACAAGTAATCAGTTACTACCCAGCTCTGACTGAAGACGTGTGAATCAATTTAGCATTCAGGCAGAGAGTGGAATAAGTAAGGAATAATTGACGACGGGCCATTGAATTATTAGAAAATAATGCACACCTGAGGTGGTGATGCTACACCTCAAGTGTGCATTATTTTCTAATAATTCAACGGACCGTTTATACTACGGCTACCACACCTCAAGACATTGTACAGATGATGTATTTCTAGAAATGTGTCAGGTTTTTGTACTTAAAACGCTCTTGTGTGTAGGATTAATTTCTTACGCATCTCATCCCAAACCTCCATTGCAAATTCCAAAACGTTATTTTAGACCTATAGTAACAAAGGCTTGAGCTGTTGATAGCAGACAAATGCAGCTATTAATGAAGTTATTAGAAAGAGAGAGAGAGATTAAGTGTGTGTGAATTACCTGATTCTGTGCGTCTCTCGTCAGTGTTCGGCAGCAGCGTTTCTACTAATAGTGAAACTGAAAGTTCATCCACTTCATGTTAAGTTCATGTTATTACCTCGCTAGTGAGAAATGCCACATAGCTTTGTAGTTGCTAAACTATTTTAATGATAAAATTGTCAGAGTAGCGCTGACATGTGTGTGAGTGTGTGTCTGAGCACGGTAAAGTTAGTTTTAGGTTCGATATTCACCAGATGTCCAATTTATTTGAATTAAAATGACTTTTGATATTAAAAATAACTGTAAAGCTTGTACTATTCATAGTGATTTACTACAGGTGAGATTTTGCCAATACCTCCATTTATATATATACAGTACACAATTATGTTCATAAAAAAACGTCTCAGGTTACTTATGTAACCATGGTTCCCTGAGTAGGGAACGAGACACTGCATCCTCTAGGGGTCGCTTCAGACACGGGTCACGACGAGGCGTTCCCCATAGCGACCCCTAGAGGACGCAGTTCGAAGTTCCCATGAAAGGGAACTACTGTAAGTTCCCAAAAGGCTTTTTTCATGTTCATAAAGGTTGTAGTACAAGATACAAGACTGAGTAACTACAGGTGAGATTTTGCCAATATCTCGCTCACTGTATGTGCAGTACTGCTCCGGAGCAGCTTATGTTCCAGGGTTAGTTCACTTCAGAGCACGTGTGATGTACTGACGAGCCTTCAGTGGGCCTAATTTGGAAAGTTTACAGAAAAAAAAAAAAACACATAGCTAGAATTCCGAGCAGAATTCATGTACGGCTCTCAGCGCTCTTGGGGACTAACCAAAGATGGCATGCCACGGATGCCGATGCCCTGCAGTAACGCTGCAAGACCTCAGCAAATATGCCTCAAACAATCCTTAGTTAATGTGTACGGGAGAAAGTTCACTGAGTGAAAGCTGCTTAAAATAGCACACACCAGAATAAACCAGCGCTCACAACATTAATACTGCGTTACTCGCCTTTAGAACAGGCTTTACACTGCACACACGCTTAATTAGCCATGTACTAAGACCTTCAAAACTGACAATATATATGGCAAATAAAAATATCATATCGCAATGTTGGTTTTAAGTCTATTTTGCATGTTCTTCAGCAGTACAACAAACGAGATTTCCCTATTTAAAAAAAAATACAGCCCTACGAGGTAACAAAACATAAAAGAAAAAAGAATGACAGACCACTGTGTTCAATACACTCATGTCACGATTCGGTTTTAAACACTGATCTCATGATACGATACTCTCACAATACTCTAAACAAACAGAGTTCAAATGGTAAGGGTTTTTATATTATTACTTCTAAGACATATGATAAACATTTAACAAAAAGCATGGTTCATTAACCAGAATAGAAATATATGCATAATTATGTTAGACATATGCTTGCACTCTGTGTAACAAGTTTTAAATGTTGTATTTTATTAATAATTAATAAACATGGAAGCTCCGATGTGTGAGCATCTGGATTTACCATATTTTTGGGTGAACTATCCATGATAAAGTATTGTTGCAATTTTGTATTGTGACACAATATACTGTTACACCCCTATTATTTATGCATGCATTCAGCATATTTATTATTACTTATTATAAAAGTGCCGCATGCTATAATCTACCATGTAAGTTACATCTTACTGCATGGTCTGGTAAAGCAGGCATGTATTAAAGCTGTACATATTCATAGTCACCCCATTCATATGCAACTAAGGTCACCAGATTGTATGAAGACATACTCTGAAACATTCATACCTAAGCAAATTTGTCAGAAGCATCATGTCTACTCGTATGCATGTGTCCCGTCAGATTTTTGAGCTTTGTTCAATGCTCTTTTGCATGCAAAAAAACATGTACACTGATCTGGCTCAGTAGAAAAAAATATTAGGTGTGAATTTGAAACTTGACACAAAATATCACATCTGACACTTTAAATTACTAGTACACTATTACTAAACATTTTTACCTTTAGTCATGTCCTAATCAGCACTGGCACTGGTGTCCCCTTAAACGAAAAGGAGCGCGATGTTCTTCTCTTCGGCTCAGATACATACATCAGTAAGATGAGGACTGACCTGCGCTGCATTACTGACTGATGAAGATGATTTCCTCTGACGAGAGTCTTCGGTGCTCTTCATCTCAGCGACCGGACGAGCTCTTCTGCCTGATCTGGCAACCTAACAACATCATCATCATCATAGTGAAAACCTGGCAACAACACATTCTGCTCATACTCTGTCCCAAAATTAACATGAAGGAAATAAGAAATTATATTTTGCAAAAAGAAAATGAAGCTTGTTTTTAGAACAATCACAATATTTTCACGTGTATTAAAGACATTATCCTCATTATTATTATTTTGCATTTACAATTAGTCATTTAGCAGACACTTTTATCCAAAGCGACTTACAAATGAGGACAATAAAAGCAATCAGAATCAGCAAGAGAGCAATGATATGCAAGTGCTATAACAAGTCTCAGTCAGCAAGGGTTTTTTTATTTTTTATTATTATATAATAAATAAAAAGAACAAGGATAGAATAGAAAAAGAATAGAGCAAGCTAGTGTTAGAGGCCTCTAGTGTTATTTAGTATTTATTATTTTATTAGTATTTTATTATTTTAAACACAAAGTTTTAATACATAATGGCAGTGTTTGTTGTACTACCTTTAATTTCTGATGTAAATATGGGAATATATTAAGGGATTGTTCACCCTCATGTTGTTTCAAACCCGTAAGACCTTCGTTCACAACAGCGTATGCTGTTCTGTGTCAGCTGCGTCACGCCGGATCTGTTGTTGTGATTTGATCTGAACGGAAACAGCGTATCCGTGTGACGCAGCTGACACATACTGTTACACCCCTATTATTTATGCATGCATTCAGCATATTTATTATTACTTATTATAAAAGTGCCGCATGCTATAATCTACCATGTAAGTTACATCTTACTGCATGGTCTGGTAAAGCAGGCATGTATTAAAGCTGTACATATTCATAGTCACCCCATTCATATGCAACTAAGGTCACCAGATTGTATGAAGACATACTCTGAAACATTCATACCTAAGCAAATTTGTCAGAAGCATCATGTCTACTCGTATGCATGTGTCCCGTGCGTTGCTGTCTATGCAGGGTCAGACAGCTCTCAGATTCCAGAACCTCGTCATATCCAAGGCAAAATCCCCCTTCTTTTTGCATTTTTCTTGAAGATTTAAAGGGGTCATATGATGCTTTTTTAAAGATCATTATTTTGTGTATTTGGTGTAACAGAATATGTTGACATGCTTTAATGTTCAAAAAACACATTATTTTTCAAATACTGTACATTAATGTAGGTCCTCTATGCCCCGCCTCTCTCAAACGCTTCGTTTTCTACAAAGTCCCTCCTTCTGACAAACGCAGTCTGCTCTGATTGGCCAGCTGACCCAGTGCATTGTGATTGGCCGAACACCGCAAGCACTCGTCGGAAATGTAACGCCCCTTACCATAATCGCGAGCTTCATCTTCCAAAATAAATGTAAAAACAGAGCCCGAAAGGGGAACAGAGTCATTTGACAGACACAGTGATGAAGCTGGTATGTGTTTGCAGTACACAAGCCACGGTTAAGACAGCTGACTCCACTGTGATGTGACCCTGTCTCTCTCTCCTTTGCAACTTCAGGGATCTTATCTATGCACAATCAGCTTGTAATACTCCAAAGAGAAAAGGAAAACTTGAAATCGCATCATATGACCCCTTTAAAATGATTTCTGACTCTTCTAATAAGAAAGCTGTAAAAACTGTGAATCTGTTCAAAAGGTGCATTATTGTCTTGCTCCCTGGCATAAATGATATTCTCAGTGTTGGGAAGGGTACTTTGGAAATATAATAGGTTACAGATTACAAGTTACCCTATTTAAAATGTAGTAAGTAGTGTAACTATTTCAATTAAATTCAAACATTTAAAGCAGGCAGTGCTAACCTTACAGTAGTACTCAACACTGTCAGACTTTCAGAATCCTTCATCACTTGAATTAAGATTATAATAATATAATTTTAAAGCACAGCCACCACAAAATCAAACTTTAGCACGTATTTTTACTCGGACTGATTTAAAATCATAAGATATAATTTGAAATCAAATCTTTGCATAGCTATGACAGGAAACACTGGCATCTAACAATGCCTTGGGGGGAAAAAACAGTTAATTAAAAAAATAAAGCATATACACAAACCCAAATAGGAAATAAAACAGTTATCAAAGAAACATGTGTCCTATTCTGTGTCCTAAACATTGGTGTCTCATAATTTAGAGCAGTCAATGCAATTTATGAAAGAAATCAATAAAAACAGTATGTGTGTAAATATATTCAGAGGTAACCCTCCTTTGTACCCTTACCAAAAAGTAGTATACTTCAAGTTTATTTTATTAAGTATACTTAAGTAAAGTTCAAGTATATTTTTAAGTATACTTTATGTAGTAAGTATACAAATATCAGTGTACTAGTAGTATACTTGTAAGTGTACTATTTCAATACTCCTTGGGACTAAATTGGCCCACTTTCTAGTATATAAAAGTATACTTTAAGAATAACAGTAGTAAACTTTAACTAGTTTACAACAATATTTTTAGCTTGTACTGCAACTATACTAAAAGTGAACTTATAGGAATACTGAT